CGATGCTGCTACGTGTCCACAAAATGCAGGAGGATCCTAGCACACATAAGCGCGTGATGACCAGAAGTGAGCTAAGTACTTTAACTTGATCTACTGTCCATTAAACAGTCTCGCTAACGGTAATCGATGGCGATGTGGCCAGTCTGTATCCACGATCGTGATCAGCACACATCTGTGGCGGTCGATCTCCTCAATCTCGCAGCCTAAAGGTAACGAGCTTGTCCCGTAATCTGACGACGCCGGTCCGAGCCTGCGTAGGGACCGGGCGACCCTCGCAGTATCCTTAGCCCACCTGCGACAGGTGGTGGTTGCGCGACAGCGAAGCGTCGGTACTGCGTACCGGCGTGCTGCTGTTACCTTTCTTTTTCTTCCTTAATCCGTCATGCAAATAACATAGCAATCCAGATTACCGATATCTTGTTCCTAAGCTTCGAGTCTACCAACCGGTGCGTTCAGGTCCTCCATGAGAACTGCGATATCCTTGCGATGATTCTTATGGAGTAGGTCGGAGAGTTGACGGTAGAACTCATCTTTGGCTCAGTCCGAGCTGCAATCCGTGAGAACATACACTATTACGCCAAACAAACAGTGTCTGGTTGTCTAGCGGCTGCATAATCATATGGAGACTTCTAGCCGAATTGCACAGGATTAGTTATTAATTGGAATCCAAACAAGTAGCACTGCTTCAGCGTGCGCACTAAACACAATTCGTTCAACAGCCTGATCCGCGGCTTCTTCACATATGTCTCCTGATAAGTTTGGAATACATGTGTCCTGCAAACGATCCTAGGATTACGTAGATTCATATCCAAGTGGGTTGTATGCACATAGAGCTTCTCAGTTACCCAGGTAGGATAAGGGGGTTAACTTATGTAACCAGAGCCAGTGCCTTAAAGTCCTTACCCGCAAAGCAGTGAGGCGATTAACGTATATGGCGAACCGTCGAGAGCCGATGACACAACTTTCGAGTGGCAACAAACTACCTACAGCGCCAGAACAGTACGAGGATAGCAGTAAAGGGACCATGAAGCGCTTCCTGAAACATTCGACTCGTTGCTGAATGCGAACACAGTCGACAGCCAGGTGGCTCAAACGCCTTCTTAGTGTCCGATGGTAGTCCACACAGAAGCGAGTAGGAATTGAGGTTGTTCATCCACCCTCCGTTAGGTACTTCATTCCGGTTAAAATGTGGGTGGTCACTGCCCCTATAGCCGGAAACATTGGCTTTGTTGTATTTAATGCATAACCAGTTGGCCAGGCTCGAACTTCACATGCTCTGAGATGCTGCGCTGATTGTCCGCGGCTGCCTGTTAAACAAACCTGTGGAACAAGCGAGACTCATTCACACTTGCCATCAGTGGGAAGGCATTCCTCCATTCGTAACCTGCGGGAGCACGCGACAGAGTACAACGAGCCCGTAAGCCGCTGCCTGTGTAGACATCCCATTCTCAGCCTAGTCTTGTATCACTACTCCTCTACCCATAGCAAATCATGGTATCACCGCAGCATTAGTATACGCCCAACTGCGTTATCACCACCATCTTTGGATCTTGTGGTCTACACCCTACACACTTACGGGACTCGTTGAGCGTTCACTTCATTTCCCCTACTAAATAGCACTCAGTGTAACTTTTACATGTTGCTTTCAAGCGCATTGCGGGCTAACCGTGGAACAAGCACTAAGATGACTCACACATCAGCTGCACTACAATCTTATTGTCCACGTTGATACGTCGCTCATCGCAATCGCAGGACGCCGGGAAGCATTCTGCGCTGCGATCATCGTACCAGTGAAAGTGTCTGTCCACCTGTGCACATGCGATTTAGCGCTTTGACCAAAATAACCTGTGACCTACGCGCTTCAACCCACCACTCGTATTGTGCCTGCTGCCCCGCGCACGTCATGTGTCCATAGCACGCGATAGATTGTACGGACAGGCGTCTGGGATTTGGCTTGTGCACGTGGACCATGGGCGTGTCAGTACACAAGTAGGTATTAACCCTTTTCGACAATTAGCTATGTTATTAATGGTGCTGTGAATCGCGTCCAAATCTCTTCTAATACATTGACCCTTTTGCACATTAGCCTGCCGTGGGTGCCCTCAGATATCGACGAGTTATTATCCCCAAGTCCCGTCATATAATCCGTCACCACCCATGTGACAAGCCGCACACGAGCAATTCCGGGCTGTAGTGTTTCCCCAACACCCACGTTCGCTATACATGTGTACACGTTTCTATGTCTGCGATGCATCCGTTATGCTATTGGCTGGCAACGCTTGGCTAAGGAAACAGCCGTACGACGGTGCGCGCATGTCACATTCGCCTTGTTCAACTTTGTTCATTGGAAGGAGCAACCTGTTGGCATACGAGATGAATTAGATATCTTTTAGCCCAAATTTTAACTGTATGGCCTGACTTGACTCAGAAATGGTTTACATTCGTGTTAACACGCTTTTGGATTTTTTTCCACCAGTTGCTGTAACCAGCGTCAACCGAACAATTGATTACCTCTTTGATATCATATTGCAACCGAACTACACATCACTTCTTTTGAACGATAATGCACTATCCATGTTCACAATCTTTTGGTCAGTTTTGCGGATCTTAAAGAAACCATTTCGTTTTTACATTTGTATCCCGTGCTTTTGTGTTCATTCCGAGTAGAACCAATTCTGTGCACCTGATCGTGGTGCTGCACAACGTGACTCCGATCCGTACTAACACCATGATTTGCTTATCCAGTGTTAACAACAATTTTCGGAATCCATAAAATCGGTTGCTGTACGTATTATCGTGCCTACGTATGGTCGTCCTATGCTGAGGCGGATGTTGCGTGCAGACGTTTCCACACCGCTGTTGAGCTACACCAACTTTCACGTACACTGGTTCGTTTTAGGCTGGATAAATTTCATTACACTTTATTTGCTTTGTTCTACCTACATGAATGAACTTCTATTAACTTGCACACGTTGCTTACGCTAATTGTGGTTACCTTTGTTAATTATCGCGTTCGTAGCATTTTTTGGGTAACTTCTGGACATTTTCTACTTATCGTGGATTCATTGCTAACCAGTTTACTTCATATGCTAATTTAACGAAGTGTTACGTCTGCATCGCCGTACGCTTCAAATGATATACTTTATTTGATAATGGGATTTCAAGTGATTGGCTGTTGCTTGATATCCGCGGTGTAGCTGCGCTTGATATGCATGTCCATACTGGCTCCAGGAGGCAGTTGGTCGTTGCTGGAGGGAACGGGGTTCATGGTCCTTGTGGCCGTGCTAGGCTCGAAGAGTGGTTCCATGTACTCAGCGTGGAGTGAACTACGGTCCAGCCACCGCCTTGTGTGCGCTTGATTCCCTAAATGCAGCGTGTTTTGTTTGCATATGAAGGAGTGTGGGCCGGCTACGTTGATGAAACGAGGCTCACAGCCAAATGTCTCCCGGTCTTACTCCTTCGGGTTTACACAGGTTATGGAGTGTGTGGTTGGAGCTGTGGGTAGTGCAGCGCAATCTACCCATGGTTCCTCTGTAGGCGTAGGCGTCCTGTGGCTGGCGGCAGTGACAGGCAAATCCGGAACCGAATGCCGTCAACCATGTGTGGTCGCATTTTCAATTCATCAACTTCGCACGCAACTTCTACCACAGCATTTCCAATATTTTCCGCTGCCTCCATGCTATAAATGTTGCTCAGCTATTAACCTTCGTAATACCAATTTCATCTTCCGTCTCAACATGATTATTGCCTTAATTTTTGCCACTTTGTTCATGGAGGTAATTTTGACGAATTTACACTTGGTATTGAACAAGCATGCGCTCTAAAAATGCCGGCCTCTGTCATCTGCCGCCCGGGGTGGACTACCCTCTCCTTGCCCCCTATGCTACGCCTGCGCATTGATCGCTAATGAGTTCAATCAGCTAAGACCATTTTCGGCTCATGGGTTTTCTTGTTTGTGTACCATAGCATAAGTACAAACTCCGTTTAATCTTTCGAAACTACTTGATACTGTTGGTCAATTGTTGCTCAATGGAATCCACTGTAATAAAAGGTGCCTTGCTCACTGATGTTGTCTGGTGTAGTCACCCAAATAATTTTCAAGTACGGGAAACGGTTGTTTCACTACCTATATCGGCCCTGATATGATTTACCCTTCAGAAGTTTTCATGCATCCATTAAACCTTCCGGCTGGTGTGCAGTAAATGGCCGTAGTCTCGACCCAGTGCCCTAATTAGGTAATGTTGCTCCAATTTTATACATTCAGCACCTGTACTTGTTTTGCGATGTAACTGCCAGTAAGTTGGGCCACTAATTTTACCTCGTGACCGTTTATCCGGGCTTACTCACTTCATCAGGAATTGTGATCAAGAGTATTGGGCCATCATACCTCGACAAGATATTACAATATACTATAAATGCCTATTAGCCATGCTATGTTGCGTTTAGTTATTATAAGCCCCCGTGACTATTTTCTACGATGCGCGTACGCTCGGTAGAACATTGGTGCATTACTAGCTGTATACGATGCTTATTTATAAAAATGTCATTGCTTCTGGTTAATCTTAACTTCGCTGATCTTGTGCTATGAGACCGGGTATTCGCGTGGTGCGACGGCTTGCATTCCTCTTCCTCACATTGAACCACGCTGACGATGTCCTCGAGTGCCTTTAGGGCTTTCCTCCCCAGATTGCTCGGTGCCGAAGTGTCGGACAAACTCAGTCTCCACTCTAGATGATTCAATTCAGGGCTTTTCGGTAAGCAACATTATCCATAGAGAAATGTAAAGCCTCCTAATCACATCCTCTGTATAAAGGAATTATGTGCACCTCTGTCACGGATACTGAGTACTTGTGACCGAATCATCATACACATCCTTCTAAAACATCCATAGCATGCAGCGATTGCTACCTTCCATTCAAATTTCCGAACTTTGCTCATTTGTTAATGTGTTCTACAATTGATGCGTTAACCAAGCAACGCTGATTTGTGACCATTTACAGATCACCACATTGCTGTTGTGACTCATCCCTGAACCAAGTGACCGAACATTCGCATCGCCCAAGAATGGTGTCCCAATGTTCACTTCATGGCCCTAACGCCGGAAGCAACACTTTTCGGCTACTTGTGCCCGCCATCCTCAATGCATGTCACGATAGGTCTGCCTGCTCAGTTGAATGCAGAACATTTCCGCGGGTTCGTCTGCAGATCACTCCCAAACAGGTAAAAGAAGTGTCACTGGTCTCTAAGTACAAGTGAACATGACGCGCACTGTTGTTATTGCAGCTAACTTGAACTTTTATCTTGCTATACCATAAGAAAAGCGCAATGATCAGCTGCTCTTAGCCTGAGTTTTTAAATTGTTAACCAAGGTCGACACACCACTCCTTGGGACTCGAATAAAGGGTATGCGTGAAGTGTCTCGGCCCCATGGTTGGGGTCCGAAAGACGATGAACCCGTTTGGCTGGATACACTTACTGCTATGGCTAGGAGCCGACCTCAGTGGCGCACTTTGTCTCACCCCATCCTTCGTAACCTCCCCCTCCAACCACCATCTCATTTCGTAGCATAATATAATTTTACATCATTTTTTTATTTTTGCCTGGTAGCCGGCTGCCTGCTTACCGGAACGATGCCCATCCGTTACCGGTAGCTCAGCTGGCTTGCACCTGTTGCATTTTTTCTCTCCTTTTTTCTTTTATGTATTGTGGCACAGTAGCTGAGGTGTTTCCCACCTCTAGCTAACATGTATGATGATGATGATGACTAAATTAGAACCTGGAACTACAGCCTCTGTGTGCACGTACAGGTGTTTCGAGAAGATGCCAAAAGTATAGCCAGGTTTTATAAGTTTAATGTGACAGCAACATAGCTTCATCTCCTGACACATTCCAGAACTTAAAGTGGTAGGTTCACTATAACAATTAGAAAACACAAAAAGAACTCAAAATCTGGTAGATGCATGCATATTGTATTGTCTCCAAGATACCATTAACGACAACCGATATGCATAGAGATAGTTCACAGTGGGTGAACTAGACAAGCTGAAGTCGCGAAGTGACAAAACGGCACTTCATCCATACCTCTGGTGCAGCCTTGGGCTAACAAATAATGCTATTTAGACGCATAAGGTTGGCTACATCCGGCTTATTGCGGCGGCCTGGGTAAACCAATTAAAGCTAGGATTAAAGCTAGGAAAACCGCTTTTAACGCTGGGCCCAGATCTCTCCGATGACTGAAATCATGAGGTGTTTGCCTATTGTTGAAACCGGCGGTAATGAGGCGAGGGCGCGATGGTTTGTGTGCCTCAGTGATCCACTGAACTATGCTGGGCAGTGCCCTTTTGCCCCTTCAGACCCACTCATACCAGATTGGGCAATGGTTAGAGGTCAGACAAACTCAGCCTCCTGGTCCTCCAGGTTGGGGTTGGAGTGAGGGCGGCTCCTTATTACATAAAACAGACTAGTTATAGCCCAACGTCAAACCCGCTGTCTTGCAGTTTTTGAACCAAAAGCTTTGGTTGAGTACCCTAATCGTTCTCCTGTCTAGGCCTGGGAAACCTGACAGTATCCTGCCCACGCAATCCTATGAATCTTTTCTCAAACAATTTCCTGATGCTCTGGACACGGCAGCGGATAATCAACCGTGCTCTATCTGCTGCATCGATCAGGGTGGATAGGGGTTTGGATGCTACTGCTCAAGCCTCCCCGTCTTCTTATTCCCCCTCCTACGCCTTTTCACCCTTACCGTCCCGTTCCAGTTTCACTTTTATCCCCCCCCTGTTTTCAACCTCCCAATCCTTGGCCCTCCCCCACCTTGCTTCAATAGTCGTTTGTCTTCTAGTTTTAACGCACGCGTGAACGCGGAGCGTCATCCCTACCCTGTCAACAGGCCCACGTCTAACCAAACGGCCAAGCTTAGTTCATCGACTTCCATTTGGTGTCCTCGATCCTCCTTCAGCTTGGCATGCCTCAACTTACGCACATTGCTTCAGATCGGTCAACGGGCAGCACTTTCTCGAACATTAGAGATCCTTTCGATCAATATTTGCTTCTTATCGGAGACCCGCCTGCAAGCCTCGAGCTCTGTGCTCACGCTGCGATCCCTTTCAGGTGGCACTAGCAACACTTTCTCATTGCGCCTATCCGGTGACAATGCAGTTTCGAGTACCGTCCAAGCCGGTGTTGGTATTGCCCTGAGTCCCCGGGCTGAAGTTGCTCTGGTTGATTGGATTCCAATCAGTAGTCGGATATGTGCGGTCCGATTGGCTGGCTCGTTCAAAGCTTCGAAGTCACGCATGACTAACAGGTATCTGCTCGTTATTGCTGCCTATGCACCGACAAACTGTAGCGATGATTCGGCAAAAGACGACTTCTGTCGCCAACTGAACCAGCTCCTTCGCCACAGAAGAAGTTCGGACACTGTAGTGCTGGCTGGGAATCTGAACGCTCAAGTTGAAAAATTCTCCACTGATGAACTGCATCTGGGCGGCTAACATGGTGCAGGCTCCCATAATGATAACGGTGAGCGGTTACTTCATTTGTGTGAGGATGCTCGCTTATTTCTTTCGACCACTAATTTCCGACACAGCACACGCCGGGTGGTGACTTGGTGCCCACCAGCCTCGAAGCAGCTATGGGCTCAAATCGATCACATTACGATAAGCTACCGATGGAGAGGCTGCATCCAGAGCAGTTGCTCGATTTGGAGCACATATTTAGACATCCACCGTGCACTTGTATGTGCTGACTTGGGAATGCGCTTTGGCGGACGTCCACGAGGACGTTGAGAGCGCATTGACACCAGCCAACTGGCGAAGCCAGCTGTTCTGACTGCCTTTCAAAGTACGCTGTCAGGCGAGTTGAAAAAGCGCTCACTGGATGCAATTGAATCTCACTGGTCTCATATTCATCAGACCTTACTAGCAGCAGGCAAATCCTTATGTGGTGGGTTTAATCGCCAACATGGACGTTGGGTCTCTTCGCGGTCTCTGGAACTTATCGATGCTCGCCGGCATATTCCGGCGGGAATCGAACACAATGAAACTCGCAAAGAGCCCCGAGCAAAACTCTGTGCTAGCCTGAAGAGAGACGATAAATCCTGGTGGTCTCATCGTGCTTCAGAGGTGGAAATGGCCGCTACCCTTGGTAACTATCGCAAGTTATTTCGTCTGATACTGGAATCGGGTAGCATTAGACCTGGTGTTGGTGAAACTATACGTGACGAGAGTGGACAGCCTATCCACAACTTGTCAAACCCTTGGAGCGTTGGGCTGAGCACTTTAAAAGGCAATTTAATCGGCCGGCATTGTTAGATTTCTCGCCGGCCACTGATCGCCCCGCTCCTTGGGCTGTCCCTTTGGATCCACCCTCTCGCTCAGAATTCGAACGTGAGACCGGATTGTTGAAGTTACATAAGACCGCAGGACCAGATGATCTCCCTGTAGCCCTCTTCAAATTCGGGGTACTGCACTTGTGGATGATTTACACGAGTTACTAGTGGAACTGTGGGAGAACGAAATTGTCTCAGCCGACTGGAGCCGCTCCGTCATATTCCCAATTTTTAAGGGTGGCTTAGGATCGGAATGCGTCAACCATAGAGGAATCAGTCTGATCTCCATCGCCTCCAAATTGTTTGCGTCTGTCACCCTTCACTGACTGACTGGCACTCGTGAAAGCCATATTCGTGAAGAGCAAGCCGGATTTCGTCGTGTTCGTGGCTGCCTTGACCACATCTTTACTTTGCGTCAGTTGTTGGGGCACCGTCACATATATTGGCGGCCCACCGTTGTCGTGTTCCTCGATATCAAGGGTGCATTCGATTCGGTGGACAGACATGAACTTTGGGACTGTCTACTCAGAAAAGGTGTACCTGAGAAATATGTAAATATTATCTGAGCATTATATGCGCGTAGCTCGGGCAGAGTGGGGACTTACGGCAAGCTGTTGTCGCCCTTTACTATCTCCAGCGGTGTGAGACAAGGATGCCCGTTGTCACCTGTCCTCTTCAACTTCGCTATTAACGAAGTCATGGAAATCGTGTTTACAGCACACGACTTAGAAGTTGTGGATCTGCTCCACGACTTCTTGACTTGGAGTATGCTGATGATATTGCCTTGATCTGTGACAGCTCACAAACGTGCCAAGCGGCACTGGGCAGATTAGCACTAGCTGTCCGTCTCTTCGGGCTTCGCTTTGCACCTGCGAAATGCAAAGCGTTCCTCCATGATTCGCCTGGACCACCTCCTAAGCTGACCCTTGGTGGGATCAGCTAGAAGTCGTTCAAGAATTCAACTACCTGGGTAGTTGTTTCAGGGCCCGTGGGATTGAAGATGTGATCACGAACCGTATAGCCACAGCTCGAGGCGCTTTTGCTAATCTTCGCTACTTGTGGCGCCGGCGCGAGCTCACTGTCTCTCAAGGGTAAAATGTACAATGCAGCAGTACGTTCGACCCTACTGTACGGTTGTGAAACCTGGCCCCTTAAAGCAGCGGATCTGAAGAGGCTAGTTACGTTCGACCACTGGTGACTTCGCAATTTAGCTCACATCTGGTGGGAACACGGAGTTAACAACGAGCGTGTTCGACGCCTTGTTTATGGCACAGGAAAAGGAAATGAATCGCTCAGCACCGGTATTTCACGCACCAGGCTCTGATGGCTCTGCCACATGTTACGCATGCCAGTCTGACGGCTCCCGCGACGTGCGTTGCTTTGAGCTGGAGGTATGGATGGAAGAAGAGGAGGGGTGGCCAATCGATGACTTGGTCGAGAGGAATGAAGGCCCTGAATTCGAAGCTGCCCTCAATTGGAGCGTCTCGGCTCCCTGGTTTGGGTCCGAAAGATGATGAACACGTTTGGCTGGATACACTTGCTGGTATGGCTAGGAGCCGACCTTAGTGGTGTTCAGGTTGTGAGTTTCTTTGTCCTATCCTATCCCCCTTAGCCTCCCCCTCCAATCACAGTCTCACTATTTAGCCTTATATAATGTTGCATAATAATTTTTTGTTGTTGCATAGTAACCGACTGGTAGCTTAGCGGAGCGATTCCCATCCGTTACCGGTAACTCAGCTGACTTGACATTGATGATGATGATGACGATGTTGATGATGATGATGATGATGATGATTATGATGATGATGATGATTATGATGGTGCTGCTGCTGCTGATGATGATGCTGATTGTAAAGTCCAAAAGGAACTTTGATGTATCCCCAACCTGGATTGCTTACATGAGGACACGGTATCTCTTTTCCCTGATTATCTTGCACATTTACACTGCTTTACTGTGTTTTACAAGCGGTTAGCATATCGCATATTTATTTCTTACATTCGATCACTGACACATCTTTGAGGGTTCAAGGTCATTCTTATCATTATGTTACTGTGATACTGCCCAAATACTCGGTCCGCCCCACGCTGTACAGTTTCTGACCACTTGCATTACGATTGCAAAACCTATTCGTAAGTCATGTACTGCATTTATTATGTCTTATAGAACCACGGTTACAGGATAATGCGTTTTATTCTTCTGCCCAGCCCGTGCGTTAAGTCTAGGTTTATCTGTTCGTAGTTTCTAGTTTAGTTTTCGTACGACGTGCTTAGTTTAGGCTTAGTATCGTTGGTACATAAGTTGAATGGAACAATCACGTTCATTTATGGTGATTCTTTTGATGATGTTAACGTTACTGATGCTGAGAAACTTCGAGAAGCTGAATCCCGTATTCGCCTGTTGGAGTCGGCTTTAACGAGCATGCGCATGTTGCAGGCGAATACCGTTGATGCTAAGGACTACTGCGAACCTGAATTTGAATCGGATGCTCTTATTAATGAACGTTCGCGATTTATTCCGACCGAGGATTGTGTGCTTCCTCTCGAAGTTGCCATCTGCTCGTCATTTGTGAAACCTGTTAATAGGGGTCCGCATGTCCCGTCCGTAACTCAGTTGGTTGGTCCTTCGGCATCCGTTGGTACCGGCGTTCGATCCCAGTCGGGGGCGTTTTGCTCCGGCCTTCAAGCTGACGGTAACCTGTGTCCGGAACACAAATCCAGCGATTTTGGACCCAGCACGTCATCCTGTCTTCCAGAACGTGAACTGATAACATTCGATGGAGATCCTGCCCGCTATTGGATGTTTATGCGATGCTTCGAAGCCAATGTTTCCAGAACTATTTCCGATCCAACCATCAGGCTTTCATATTTGATACAGTACTATTGTGGCGAAGCCAAAGAAGCTATCGAAAGTTGCTTAATACTCGACCCTGGTGAAGGTTTTGAAGAAGCAATGAACATTTTGCGCAGACACTTCGGACGGCCCCACATTATTGCTAGGACACACATTAATGCTCTAACTGATGGCCCTAACATCAGGCCCAATGATTTCGCGGCTGTCTCGTTTAGCTGTGGAACTGCGTTCATGCTACTTGACGTTGAAACAATTGAGGTATGAATCCGATTTGAATGCGTCCAGAACAATCAGCTCTATCGTCAGGACGCTGCCTAACCATCTGCAATTCAAGTGGGCCGAGCATGCCGCCAGAGTTATCCGCACCGAAAGAGAACCGAACTTCATTGATTTGACAGATTTCGTGGATGAAACCGGCAGACGTCGTCGATACTTATTTGTCCTTTGCCGCACGTCCCTGCGGACTACCGGCCATCACTGATAGAGGCAGAAGCTTAAACTCTCGGGGATATGCCGCCTGCCTAAACATTTCCGCTTCATCAGAACGAAATTTCCCTAAATGTTTTTCCTGTGAACAACTCCACTACTTAGATCAGTGCGATGATTTCCGAAATATCAGCCTCAACAAACGTCTCGAATTCTGTTACGTTCATAGACTGTGTCAGCTCTGTCTCAAACCGAATCATGACCTAGTAAATTGTCGATCACAAAGGTGTTGTGGGTCGAACAATCGTAAGCTGCTGCACCACCCGCTACTCCACGTTGATCGAAGCAACTTCGGAACACCAACCACTGAAGGATCCAGTTTTGCTCTCAGTCACATCGAACGCTCTGTTGTGTCGCTTTGCTTGTTACCTGTGCTTGTTTCTGGGCCTGCTGGCACCATTCGAACATTAGCCTTAATAGATCATGGATCAGATACTTCACTGATTGATTCAATATTACTTCAAGTTATCGGGTTCAAGGGTCCGTGACTACACTTAACATTAGCACCGTTGCTGGCCAATGTCAAGTGTAGTCCCAGTTGGTTAGTGTAACTGTTCGATCTATAGAGGGGGATGAGGCGGTCCAATTAAATTCAATTAGTTCAGTCAGTCATCTCCCTGAAAAACTTGGAACGAGAAACAGGAACAACGATTTCGCCAGATGGTCCCACCTCCCCGATCTACGGTTACCGGAGCTGAAAGATTGAACTTTTGATTGGTTGCGATAACCCATATCTACACTGGACATTATATCAGAGACGCGGGGATCCTGATGATCCGTATGCTGTTAAAACTCCATTGGGCTGGATCGTACTGGGACCGAACAAACAGCACGAGATTATGAGGGATCATTCCACATCACTGAGAGCTGATCGAACACGGAGGATCAACTCACTTCGCTGTGAAACCACTGACCTTCATCAACCACTAGAGCAAATATATGAAAGGGAATTTGAAGGATTACATAGTCCACGACTAGCCATGTCTGTGAACTACGGACGTGCGTTAAAACCAATGGAAGCTTCTAAAAGAAAAGTTGGCACCCACTACGAGATTGCGCTACCATGGCAAGCTGGGAGACCTCGGTTACCAGATAACCGGCAATTCGCACTAATGAGGCTTGCCATGTTGAGGAAACGTTTGTTGAAGAATGCCGCACTGCGCCAAGTACACACCAAGGTAGTGAAAGAAAATATATTTAGAGGATATGCTGAACTCGCTCCAGTACAGGAACAGCAGATAAAAGGGGAAACCTGGTACATACCCCACCACTCGGTATCGCAACCCCCTAAGCCCGGTAAAGTGCGAGTGGTCTTCGATTGTCAAGCTTCATACCATGGAACTTCTCTTAATCAACAATTTCTACCTGGTCCCGATATATCAAACAGTCTAGTGGGGATGCCTTTACGGTTCAGGTTTCACCCGATCGCCGTCGCGTCCGACCTTGAAGCAATGTTTCACCAGGTTAAGGTTTCTGTTAAGAATCGGAATTGTTTGAGGTTCCTTTGGTGGAAGAATGGCAATCTTTGTTCACTCCCTATTGAATACCACATGACTTTACATCCGTTTGGCGCTACTTCGTCACCAAGCTGCGCTAACTTTGCATTACGACAAGCTATCGTTGACAGTTATTGTGAATCTCCAACAAAGGCTAAACAAGTAGTAGAGAACTGTTTTTAAGTCGACGATTGTTTCTTGAGTGTTGTTTCTGTTCCCGAAGCAACTGAACTCGTTATACACCTTACTCGTATTTCGTCCGACGGAGGACTTCATTTGACGAAATGGGTCAGCAATCGAAAGGAGGTTATCGCGCTTCTACCTGACAACGAACTGAAGGTTCCCGGAATAAGAAATTCGACTGGGGACGATTGTGTTACAACTGCGCCTGGTTTAAACTGGAACGTCACACAGGACCACCTAACTCTTATGCTGGAAGGTTTTAATAAAACTTTGACCCGAAGAGCCATCCTCTTGTTTTCAGCTCCCGTTAATGATCTCGGCTTCATTGCTCCCGTGCTACTTTCGGCAACGGTACAGTTACAGAGTTTCGTAAAAAAGAAGCTGGATTGGAATGAGCCTCTTCCCGCAGAGGATCAGCAAGTTTGGAGAAGAAGGAGGAGACAGGTAAGACATGTGTCTGATATGTTTTGGCATAGGTGGATTAGAGTATATCTACCGACACTGCAGAATAGACAGAAGTGGATAACTGAAATCCGAGATCTTAGGCAGGGCCATTTAGTATTAGTTTGTGATTTACGCACATCAAGATGTCTGTGGTCTGAGGGTGCTGTGGAGCAAGTTATCAAGAGCAAAGACCAACTGGTTCCACAAGTATTGGTGAAGACTAGCAAAGGCATATTGCGAAGAGACGTCAGACAGCTGTGCCTACTAGAAGCGTACCAAGAAGAAGAGAATGATGCCGTGGAAGCCATCGTCCGGGATAGGAAACCGCCGGGGGAGTGTAAAGTCCAAAAGGAACTTTGATGTATCCCCAACCTGGATTGCTTACATGAGGACACGGTATCTCTTTTCCCTGATTATCTTGCACATTTACACTGCTTTACTGTGTTTTACAAGCGGTTAGCATATCGCATATTTATTTCTTACATTCGATCACTGACACATCTTTGAGGGTTCAAGGTCATTCTTATCATTATGTTACTGTGACACTGCCCAAATACTCGGTCCGCCCCACGCTGTACAGTTTCTGACCACTTGCATTACGATTGCAAAACCTATTCGTAAGTCATGTACTGCATTTATTATGTCTTATAGAACCACGGTTACAGGATAATGCGTTTTATTCTTCTGCCCAGCCTGTGCGTTAAGTCTAGGTTTATCTGTTCGTAGTTTCTAGTTTAGTTTTCGTACGACGTGCTTAGTTTAGGCTTAGTATCGTTGGTACACTGATGATGATGATGATGTTGACGACGATGATGATGATGATGGTGATGATGAAGATGATGATGATGATGATGATGGTGATTATGATGATGACGATGATGATGATGATGACGATGGTGGGGACGAGGATGATGATGCTGATGAGGAGGAGGAGGAGGATGAGGATGATGAGGATTATTATTATTATTATTATTAGAGTACCTCAAGCTTGCCTTGTCACACTCACTGTTACCTATATCTATACATATTGGTCGTTGTAAATAGTACGGTGGATGATATACGAAAGGTATGCATCAGCCTGCCAAATATTGGTAAACCCAGCAAAGAATCCATCAAGATCTGCGTTGATGTCCGAGTCTTGACTACTTACTGCAGCAGAATATGGCTTGCTCTTCATCGGACTAATTTGACGTTAGTTACACTAAATTTTCAACATTTGTCCCTTGATTCCGCTTTCTGTTTCCATAGTGTCTACATGTTATCAACGGGAATCATTCAAAGGACTGCGTGCATGTGCGAGCGGAAAAGAACGCTATAAAGGCCACTTCGTTACAGACTGCAGGAACCGGACTGCACAACGGTACAGGAAGTCATTCTATCGCTGTTTATGACTGAACGTTTATGGCTTACACGTAGCTTACTGATGACCAACAATTCACACAATGAATTGATTTCTGATCCTGTAAAGGATATGGAGGATAATGCGCCTTACCAAACTCAAGCTTCTATCTATAAAGTAGAAGCGACGTCTAGCCAAACACATGAACTTCAACAGCCTAGTACGGCACCGCATTGCTTGTTAGTAAATCTAGATGCTAATAGCATTAAACCTTGCCACTGACTTGATATGCACGGTGATAAGATGCATAAACTCCCCTGCATTCCAAAGGGTACAACAGGACGTTGTCAGGCTCACCGCGGAGCCATCGGACGACCATAACAATGATCCGATCTGCCTATCACCCCTTTGAAGCACAGTTCTGTGTGCTAACTAGTGCCTCTATCTACTGAACTGTGCCTCATGCTGAGACTGATGTTGCATTCAATGATCAATGAAGTTATAATAATAATAATAAAAATAGGTATATTCATCTTGATGAGAGAGACTGTCTATAGCGGCACAGATCAAGTTGTACAGAAGAATCCATGCTCTTGCATGGGTGACATGCATAGGTGATTGGGATATGCGTTTCATTTATTAACATTCTGACAGATGGTTGAAGCCAAAGGCTAGTTATGAAAACGTCAATGTTTGTGTTTTTGGGTCCCTCTTGGAATTTCTCATTGAGGGATTTTTCCCATGTGCATATAGAGCTTAGGACAGTTAGATCAAAGTAATTTGCGACTCTGCTACTAAATGTTGTCACGTTGTCACATGACCTACGTGTTATTGACAGTTTATTCCACAGATAGTTGTAGCTGACCAGGAAGAAATTAGAGCGGACGTTCGTTCTAACCTTTGATATATTCAATGTAAAATCTTTGTTACGAAGCGCTCGAGTTGGACAATGTTGTAGACTGAGTGTAGGCAGGTCGGAATAGGTCATTTTGTATAACATGTTGAGAGGCATCAACAAGTTGTGCTTCAATCCTCAAGTCCAAAGTGGTTCGAGCTGAAGTTCATTGCAACGTTCTGAATAACTCATAGCAGAGTGTTTACCAATCAGATGTTTAGTAAATGACTTCTGCAGGTTCTCCACAGCAATTCTATCACTATCATATTTCCTTGTATTATACTGCAGTATTCGAGGATGGGACGAGTAAGTAGCTTGAAAAGCTCAACTCTAGCAGGAGTTGTGTATATTTTGTTTGATATATTGAACATAGACTGTCTGGCACGTGCTACTTGGTATTTGGCTTGTTCGGATCAATTGAAGGTAGACGAGTACCTAATGCCAAGTTCTCGCGTGGACAACTATGTAGGGACGCGTTCATTGTTTAGGGTGATAGATTCTTCGGGGATGAAGCAGCCGTAAGACATGATGCTTGATTTCTTAGCCGAGAGGTTCATCACCCATGTGCAGCACCATGACTCAAAGGAATGTAAGTCATCTTTAATGAGCAGTAATGTCCCGTAAAGCTCGTCACGCCAAAACTTATGGACTAGTTTGATATCGTCAGCAAATAAAAATGATGTACCATCTTTTACAGATGTGGTGATGTCATTGATGCAGAGCAAAAGGAGTTAGGGGCCGAGCACTCTCCCTTGAATTACTCCGCTGGTGATTGAGCGTGGGGAAGGGAGATAATCACCTAAAGTGACTACCTGATGACGATCAATCAGGTTCGATGATAGCCAACTTAGTAATGGGTCCTGGATCCTAAAGTTCTCCAACTTTTGTAGCAGTCGCTTGTACGGTACTCGGTCGAACGCTTGGTGTATGTCAAGAAACAAGATTACTACTGCATAGCCGGAATCAATTAATTCTGAAATGTCATTAAGGTAATGCAGTTGAGAGGTGGTGCACGATCGCTTATTGAGAAAACCATGCTGCGAATTGTTGATCAGGCCAATAGAATCAACAAAATTCATCATCCTCATTCTGATTAGCTTTTCAACCAGTCGAGCGATTATCGGAGTGTGGTGGATTGGTTGGTAGTTATCAATCGTTTGTTTGGTTTCTCCTTTATGCCAAGGCATAATAAATGACGTTTTCCATTGGTCTGGAAAGTAGCCAGATTCCAGCGATAGAGTGAACATGCACATCAGCAGCAATGGTACATCAGGTCCTCCTAGTTTATTGATGGTTGGTGTAGTGTCATCAGATCCCAGCTTGGAAGATGGCCTGATTACTTTGACAACTTGATGGATAGCGTTGAGCGAGATATCGACTCTGCTTAAGAGGTTTTTTCCTTGAGCTCTGTGCACGCAGGCAGCGGGTCAGCTTCGCGACTCATGGTAGTGGCAAAAACGTCGCTGAATACTTCACAGATTTCAGCTGGGTCATGGAGTAAGTGACCCTCACCATCAAATACTTCGGTAATCAGGGGAGAGCGGTCACTGGTTCTACGATGCAATATTTTGACAATTTCCTTAGCATTGCAGCTGGTCCGTCGGACTGTATGTTCTTCATTTCTTCGTCGTGTTAATTGCGCGTGTTTGACTCTGGTGGTAAATTCAGGTATTTGTAAGACAAGTGAAAAGCCATGGGTCCTTCTGTATTTTGAAGCTAACATTTTGCTGATTAAGCGCTCGACAGAATCTTTAGAGACATTAGGGGTATGAATACATTGTAGAGCAAGGAGGACTATGGCGTGATGGATTTGTTTACAGAACTGCTCCACAGCGGTGCACACACTGGTAGAGAGGGAAAATACATCGCAGTCGAAGAAACGAATGAACTGCTGAAAGCATTCCCAGTTTATCTTATGGGTTGCAACCGGCATTGTAGAGGCGAGTTTAGTGACCATTTTAATTTGGAAGCTGAGTCAAATCATGTTATGGTCGCTGTCAGGGAGATTGTTTAAGATCTCGGTCTGTTGATTGGGTATCCCCAATGTGAATATTAAGTCCAGTACATTGGCGGACCTGGTGGGGATATCAAAATAACAATAATGATAATAATGATAGTAAAACAGTTAGTACTTCAAATATGAAAATAAGGACTTATCTTTTGCTCCGCCGTAGTCCTGCAATCTGCTTAGATTCACAGCACCCACAGTTAACATCAAATAATTCCATGGTAAACTCCAGGTGTAGGATGGAGACGTAGCGCCAAGCGACAAAGTGTAAGTGGATGAGTGCGTCATCCAACTGTCTTTTAAATAGTGTTAGTGTCGATGCGGAGACAACAGATTCTAAGAGAGCATTTCACGCGTGACAGATGCGAATGAAAAAGAAATTTCTGCGGCACTCCAGGCGGCTAGACTGTACAGCGGGTTTCAATGAGTGGCTCCTCAGGGTTGTATTGCTGATGAGTTGCAGTAAAGGGCGGCACACATGATGTCGGTCTCGCAGAATCAAGTATGCCATTAGTAGGTCACTTCGTAGTCTGCGATAGCTTCCACTGAACAATCCCAGTCGTTGCAGTCTCTACTGGTGTGAAAGATTGCGCATCCCAATTACGTTCTTAGATGCCAGACGTTGTGGCTGCTCCAGTGCATTAAGGTCGTGTTTCAGCCATGGATGCCAGGCTTGAATTGCGTATTCGACATGGGGGCGAACATACGCACTAAGCATTTCCGAAATATGGAGCTGTTGATTTTTCCAAACTCCCGTCGTAAAGGCCCGTGTTGGTTTCCAATCTTCGATGCCTTTTCAGATTGCCTGGGGCAACCCGCCATCTTGAAGCAGGACACCCAAGTCTCGTTTGACAGTTGATTGTTGCAGTACATCCGTTCCGAGTCGGTATGAGTAGCTGCTCTGATGTCGAATGGAAAGTACCTTGCATTTACTGACGTTGAAATGCAGTAAGTTTTGGGTTGACCCCGGATACACCGTATCTAGGTCACTCTGAAGCACATGTTAGTCTGCGTTCGCCTGGATCCTGCGCCAGACCTTGCTATCGTCGGCAAACATTAGGATGTTTGAAGCATTTCTCAGTGCAACTTCATTAATAAATACCAAAAACAAACGTGGACCTAGAACTGAGCCTTGCGATACACCACACTCGACTTGTATTGGGTCCGATAAAGAGCTCCGAACTCTGACCTCTAATTGCCGTCGAAGTAGAAAGTTGGTATTCTAATTTAAAAGAGGGTCGCCGCTCCCGTAATGCTGGAGCCTGGAGAGTAGTATCCGGTGGTCTAGACGGTCGAAAGCCTTCGAAAAATCCAGCGTCAGCTGACTCGGTCCAACTACTGTGTGTGCTTAGTAAATCCGTTGTGCATGAACGCTGTCGACGGAAACCGTGCTGCTCAGGCGTGATGATGTTACAGTTTTCCAGATAGCACACCAGTGCATGGGCAACTATGGATTCCATGACATTGGAGAGTATGGGAAGAAGGGATACTGGGTGGTAGTTGGAGGGATCAGTTCTGCATCCACCTTTGTGAATCGGGGTTATTATTCCAAGCTTTCACATGGCCAGAACTTGATTCTAGTTCAAGCAGCGTTGGAAAAACTGAGCTACAGGTCCTGCTAATTGGCTTGCTGCTGCTTCCAGTGCTTCTGGACGAATGGTGTCGACATCCGGCGAGCTGTGTTTGCGTAGAGACATCAACTTTTTCATTACAGTCTCCGCGGCAAAAGTTAGGTTGGTTACTTCTGGCAAGGTGGAGTGGCTAGACCCCTTGAAACGTGGGAGCATATTGCATCCGCAGTGTGTTTGCTACTTCCACAGCCGTTTTTGTTGGGCCCCCAGCGGTCCTGAATGCAGGAAATCCTTGCCTCACCTTTCGTAGGCTATTAACGTGCTTGCACAGCAGTTTGTGGTTAGCACTGAAGGATTTTGCGATGTTCTGCTGATAGGCGGCTTTGTCTTCTCTTAACAGTTGAGTGCAGTGGTTACGTTGGGCTACGTGCTTGTCCCAAATTTCTGATGCTGGAACTTCTCTGTACACTCGCCATGCTGCGTTGCGTACTGTCATCCAATTTTCGAGTTCTGCTTCTAACGAAAGAAACCGATATACACTCATTGC